TTTTTACCCCAGCACTAAGCTTTTAGTGGAGGGGCCCCTTGGGCCTTAAATCTGCAATTTGTTTATACCTATGCCATGCGACTGTCGGGGTACAAGCTAATGTGCCTAAAGCAAACCCAAGCAAGTTTGTTAAAATCCTTTCCTACTAAATGCGTATTAAATATCTTCTTATGTTTTACCTATTTCTTGACGAAATATGCCAAGCGTTCGATTGTAGCCTTTTTATGGCGGTATTTTCTCTGGCAATAGTGAAGTCCCAAAGCACTGCCTTAAAGCTTATGCTCACCTAGTTCCTACGTATGTTCTTTCCGTAGTCCGGATGTTTAGGTTATAACGGTTCATGCAATTGTACATCTTTCTGTACTATTCTGTACTACTTTTCAATTGAATATCTGATGGAAAAGATGCGGGTTCTAAATCGTACTTGGTTTTGGTTTCGTATTGTCGAAAAATTACACCGGTGTTATTTTTTACGACATAAGTGGTATGTCGACCTCATTTGTCTATTCCTACGGCACTGGCGTATTTGTTTTCCTATGCACGTTTTCTCTATAAAACGGGTTATATTTTTGAAGTACGTAGACTTTTTCACATTTGGTTGTTGCTTTCTTTGAAAACCTTTCTTAATTTTGCGCTTAGATTTTTGTATTTTATTATACAGACTGTGCTTTCTAATATCATTAAACTTGCAGTTGGGTTAGTTGCTAGATTAGGGCTAATCTTTTGCTTGTTTTTCGCCTTCGATCTTTGTTGTGCGCTGTCTTTACATTGTGGAATTATGTTAATTTAAGTAGAACGTTTGCGGTCGTACGATTTGGGGATATTTTTTAGATAGAAATGCTATCTTTGGGAATCTTTTGGTAACATCACCTCAGAGTTTTCAGTTCCACCGCTTGGCCTGATTTTTTTCGTGGGGGTTTCTTAAACTTCTCTCCAACTTCTGTGTGCTGATAATTCAAGCTGCATACTCTGACTTTGGTGGAATTTAGTTTTTATAGTATACAGGGTCTAATTCAGAACCCCTGCGATCGAGTCATCCAGAGCAACAACCGAAAATTTGAATCATTGAAACTCAGGAGAGGGAGCATACCCTAGTATAGTTATACCGTGTTACTGGTTCTATTTCTGCCCCC